AACTCCTACTGGCAAAAATACACTTAATATGTTGTCCTCAGATAGAGGAAGTATCAGATATTAAACTGATAAGAAGAGATACTACATTTGATCTTAGCCAAAAGGCCAAGAAGGGATTTTTTCTTTGTTTTTGTTTTTTGTTGTTGTTGCTTTCTTTTGTTGCTTTGTTTTGCTCTGTCTTGTTTTTTATTATCTCTTTAGGTCTATCTAGATAAGTTAGGTGGGATAAACAATCTGGAGCAGAAAACAATGGGACAGACAGTTGGGGGGTGGGGGAACATGGCAGAGGGGGAGGCAGGGGAAAGGAAATGGGTGTTAAATCCAGGGACAAGCGAACAAGTGATTCAAAATTGATGGCAAGGAGGGTGTAGGAGGCCTGGTAGGGCTTCATCAGGGCAATGTAACCAAGAGGAATTACTGAAACCCAAATGAAGCCTGAACATGATAGTGGGACAAGAAGAAAGTAAAAGGAAATAGAGAAAAGAAGTAGGACCCAAAAGCACTATAGAGGTCTAAATACAGGCATGTACAATGGGGAAATAGCAGGGAATCCAGGACGGATGATCCCGTCAGGACCAGTGGTGAGAGTGGTGATACTGGGAGGGTGGAGACGGGTGGGTTGGAAAGAGGGAACCGATTACATGGAACTGTGTGTGACCTCCTCCCTGGGGGACAGACAACTCAAAAGTGGATGAAGGGAGACGTCGGACAGGGCAAGATATGACAAAATACCCATTTATAAACTATCAAGGGCTCATGCGGGAGGGGAGAGCGGGGAGGGAGGGGAAAAAAGAGGACCTAATGTCGGGGGGTTGAGTGGAGAGAAAATGTTTTGAGAAACGATGTACAAATGCGCTTTACACAATTGATGTGTGTATGGATTGAGATAACAGTTGTATGAGCCCCTAATAAAATGTTAAAAAAAAAAAACAATGGGGAAATAGGTCTATGTGCATATATTTATAGGTTTGGTATTAAGGTAGCAGATGGACATTGGGCCTCTACTCAAATACTCCTCAATGCGTGAACACCTTGTTGTATTAAACTGGCACTCCATGATGCTCACCTTCCCAACATGATTGCTGAAGACAAAGCGAGTGCATAAGCAAATGTGAAGAAAGCTGATGGGCCCAGATATCAAAAGATATAGCGCCTGAAGTCTTAAAGGTCATAAATAAGCAGCCATCTACTGAGGCCATCTAGCTGAGAAGCAACGAAGCCCACATGGAAAAATCACACAACCCTGTATGGTCACACGGTGTTGATAGGATCTGGTACCAGGCATCAAAGAACAAAAAAATCATATCATTGTGAATGAGGAGTGTGGAGATCCAAAGGCCATCTGACATCCTCATACAGAACGGTCATGGAGAAGAGACGAGCCAGTCAGGGTGCAGTGTAGCACTGATGAAACATACAACGTTCCTCTAGTTCTTGAATGCTCCCCCCCTCCCCCCCTGCACTGCCCCCACTATCATGATTCCATTCTACCTTATAAATCTGGCTAGACCGAAGCATGCACACTAAGATGAGAGCTGACAAGAGCTGGAAACACAGGGAATCCAGGACAGATAAACCCCTCAGGCCCAATAATGAGTAGATACCAGGAGGGGATGGGAAAGGTGGGGGACAATGGGGGAACCGATCACAATGATCTGCATATAATCCCCTCCAGAACAGAAAAGTGGGTGAAGGGAGACATTGGACAGTGTAAGACATGACAAAATAATAATAATTTATAAATGGTCAAGGATTCAAGAAGGAGGGAGGGTGGGGAGTGGTGGTAAAATGAGGAACTGATACCAAGGGCTCAAATAGAAAGCAAATGTTTTGAGAATGATGATGACAACAAATGTACAGATGTGCTTGACACACTGGATGGATGGATGGATGGATAGATTGTGATAAGAGTTGGATGAGCCCCTAATAAAATGATTTTAAAAAATAATTTTTAAAAAAGAGGTTCCCCCGCCATCTGACTCGCACCATGGCCAACAGTGAGTGCACCTTCATCACCATCAAGCCGGGAGGCGTGCAGCACGGCCTGGTGGGCGACATCATCAAGCGCTTTGAGCAGAAGGGCTTCCGTCTAGTGGTCGTGAAGCTCGTTCAGGCCTCTGAGGAACACCTGAAGCAGCACCACATTGACCTGAAAGACCGCCCCTTCTTCCCAGGGCTGGTGAAGGACATGAACTTGGGACCAATGTGGCCATGGTCTGTGAGGGGATGGATGTGGTGAAGACGGGCCAGGTGATGCTGGGAGAGACCAACCCAGTGGATTCTAAACGAGGCACCATCTGAGGGGACTTCCGTATTCAAGTCGGCAAGAACATCATTCATGGCAGTGATTCGGTCAAGAGCGCCGAGAAAGAAATCAGCCTCTGGTTTAGCTGGAAGAATTGGTGGACTACAGTCTTGTGCCTTATGTCCTGTGACAGGATCTATGAGCAAGAGGCGGACAAAGCAGTCCCGTCCCTGTGGGCCCATTGGCACTGTGCCTGTCCTGTCTTCTGGGGTTGGAAGCAGTAGGATTGATGTCCTGTCTCCTTCCAAACAAAGCACACTGACCAATACAATAAAGTCTCTGGAGACTGGGAAAAAGAAAGAGCTCCCTCTGAAGAGCTTTTTCTAGCTAAGATCTTTCTCAACTCACTGTCATGGAGTAGATGCTGACTAACAGTGCTCTTACAAAACAGGATAGAACTGCCCCTGTGAATCTGAGACTAACTTTTTTTAAAAAGCACATAATTGGAGGCTCTTACAGCTGTTAAACATTCCATACATCAATTATATCGAGCATAATTTGTACATATATTGCTGTCATTTCCAAAACATCTACTTGAGCCCTTGTATGCGCTCCTTTTTCTCCCTCCCTCCCCCACCCTCATGAATCCTTGCTCAATTACATATTATAATTTTGTATCTTACACTGTCCTTTGTCTCCCTTCACCCACATGCCTGTTATTCATCATTCCCTTGTGGGGGGAGGGGCTATATATCCAACCTTGTGATGGGCTCCCCCTTCCTCCCCCTCCCCCCTCCCTGAAGACTAACTATGGGAGTAGAGAGGCCCGTCTTTTTTTTTTTTAAATCATTTTATTGGGGGTTCTTACAACTCTTGTTGCAATCCATACATCAATTGTATCAGACATTCATACATATATTCCATCGTTCTTTTCTAGACATTTACTTTCTTTTTTTTTTTTTAACATTTTATTAGGGGCTCATACAACTGTCATCCCAATCCATACACACATCAATTGTGTAAAGCGCATTTGTACATCGTTTCTCAAAACATTTTCTCTCCACTCAACCCCCCGACATTAGGTCCTCATTTTTCCCTTCCCTCCCCGCTCCCCCCTCCCTCATGAGCCCTTGATAGTTTATAAATGGGTATTTTGTCATATCTTGCCCTGTCCGACGTCTCCCTTCACCCACTTTTTGGTTGTCTGTCCCCCAGGGAGGAGTTCACACACAGTTCCATGTAATCGGTTCCCTCTTTCCTACCCATTCTCCCTTTACCCTCCCTGTTTCGCCACTCACACCACTAGTCCTATAGGGCTCATCCACCCTGGATTCCCTGTATTTTCAGTTCCTATCTGTACCAGAGTACATCCTCTGGTCTAGCCAGACTTGCAAGATAGAATTCGAGTCATGGTAGTGGGAGCGGGGAGGAAACATTTAGGAACTAGAGGAAAGTTGTACTTCTCATCATTGCTACATCGCACCCTGACTGGCTCATCTCCTTCCCGAGACCCCTCTGCAAGGGGATCTCCAGTGGGAAAGGCCCGTCTTTCTACGGCGGCGCAGTTGGTGATTTCAAACTGCTGACCAGATCACAGCCCCACATGGAGCCCCACACCACCAAAAACAAACCCAAACTCACTGCCATGGAGGTGACTCGGACTCAAGGTAACCCGATGGGACAGGGCAGAACTAGACTACTAAGTACCATCTTCAAACTGCTTACCTTGTGGTTAGCAGCCCAGTGCACCACCCAAGGCTCCTTAAAACCTATTCTACAAAGCTAACTTAGCCCTCAGGACGTTTATGGGTCAGTTAAGAAACAGGGAAGTTCGAGAGTAGAGCTATGAAGGATGGGCTTAGTTTGTTTGGGAACTGGAAGATCTGGGAGAAGAAAGAAGTGAGTCTGGAGAGGCAGGCATGGACTGACAGATCACCTAGGACTAACCAAAGTCATAAAAACAAAAAGGGTGGTATGATAGTTTCCTTGTTTTGAAGCTCCCTCTGGATAAAATAGCACCAACTGAAAACATAAAAAACCTTCTGGTTGTTTCCTTTGTAATATAGCCAGTCTTGTACACGCCACTTTTCAATATCAACGTAATGTCACAGACCAATAAGACATACCTCTCATTGTATATCGTCCAATATAGAGATGTTTATTGAAAATGTCTCAAAGATAGAGGGTGCATTAAAAATCAAGGGAAAAACTTCAACTACACACACACACACACACACAATTTTTCCACTTGTTATCAGTGAACTAAATATTTATCATACAAACACATTTAAACACCTCCACCATTCCTTTGACCCTCACCCTCCCTCCCCCAGTCTCAGGTCATTCCCTCTATCCCTGGCTATGTGAGGCTAATCTAATCCTCTTAAGGATTTTTTTCCCTGCCATTTTCATCTGGGTGGATGAGAAGGGGAGATTAAACTGAGGTATATGAAGGACACAGATAGGTTGGGAATCCCATGTACAATACGAGAAAACATAGCCCAGTCCGGCGCCAGACTAACAACTGTTGCTAAATCTAAAATCCATTAAGACAACATTAATCATTGTAATAGGCAATTGTCTTTTAAGTCCTGAATTACTAAAGATTTTAAGATCTTTTTGTAACCATTTTTTAAGCATCAATATTCGGACTCTTAGTTAACAATTTATCTGATATTCCCACAAGCAAAACATTTCACAGCCAACGTCTCCCACTTCTCCTTCACAGAAGAACCAACAGGAAGGCTTTTTGAAGTTACCTGCGAGAGACCCAAGCAAGGCCCCACTTCAGATTCACAAGCATGCACTTAAGGGCCTTGGTCCACTGCGTCTCCGTGTTCAAGAAAGTCTTAATGGAATAGCATTTACCTCCTGTCTCTTCCAGGCGGCCCTTCTTCACATTGATTCCGTAGGGCAGGCAGAGACCGACTTTCTCAGCCTCTTCTTTGAACTGCTGCAAACAGTCCAGGAAAGCCACCATCGCAAGGTCAAACGGATTCTCCAAGACACCCTTGCCCTCTGAGCAGTACAGCGGCAGCTCAGACTCATCTGTTAGAGACTTTAGGTAGGAATGGTTTCCACAGGGGAGAAGTTGATACCTCTGAAATTCCAGACCCATTTTCTTGGCCAGGACAAGAAGCAGTAAAGCCGTCTGCCCCCAGGCAGCACTGATCTCAGTCCAATTGACAGGAGTTGTGGAGAGGCAGCCCAATGTGAAGTTATTGATGATGCCCAATGGGCCCTTACAAGAGATATCAAATGTCATGTTGAAGATACTGGTTTTTGCCAGCTGATCCACTTGAATATGGACATATTGCAGCCGGTTCTCCAAGCTCCTCAGCTCGTCAAGCAATTCCAATCCTTGGCATTCCAAGACACTGTACTCCTTATGGTGCTGCTGCTCCTGCTGGTTCAGTGTCTCAGTCTCGGCCTGGGCTGCCTCCAGGTCTCCTGCTACCTGCTTCCGGGTCTTCTCCACAGCGTCCAGCTCCTGGACCAGCCTTCTCTCCTCCAGCTCCAGGCCACTGAGCTCCATCTGCAATGCCTCCACTGTATCCTCCCCAGTTGGCAGCTCCTTGCCCTCCAGGAAGCATTTGTAGTCCTGAATCTCAGATTCCGTGGTTGTGATGTGGCGGTCTAGCCGTTTGAGGAGTCTGTCGGTGCACTCCTCACACAGGGGCTCGTCCAGCTCGCTCTCACCGGACAGGAGGTCAGATATGCCCAGCGTGGTCTCTTGGATGTTGTGGAGGGTTCTGATGGATTGCATTTTCCCAAGCAGGCTGAAGGTGTCAGCACGTTGGCCCCAGAATACGGAGCTCACCCAGTCACTGGAAGACAGGCCAGCAGTAGCAGCAGCCTGGAGTTTGGCTGTATCTGTCTCCGAGGGAGTTGGGTCTCCCTCCGGGGTCCTCTCTGACTGGCCCGCAGCCAGGATAAATGGCCCATCAGACAGCTGTTGGGCCGTGCTGGCCTCTGCATGCCAGCTCAGTTTCAGGGGTTGATTGCAACACCAGCAAATGAAGCGCGAGGAGGACATGCTGGAGGCCTTCCGCGTGCTGTGGATGTTGATGCTTTCTTGACCCCAAGTTTCCTCCAACAGCCCAGTGGTTGCAATTTATACCTTCTGAAACACTGGAGGCATTGATGCTTTCCTTGACCCCAAGTTTCCTCAGGCATCCCAGTGATTGCAATTCACACCTTTTGAAAGGCATTCTAGACGAGTGAATCTACATCTCTGATCCCTGCCCCTCCTTTGGGCCCTTGGGTGGGTGGGAATCTCTCTAGATAGAAAATATGATCACTGCCCTTCTTTGACATTATCAAGGCACAACAGAAACAATCTTTGGGATAGTAAGATCTGATCCTGTTACTTCTTAAAATGTTGTAGTACCCTTATCTTTTCTTTTCTAATACCCTTATCTTATCCTGAAGATCAGAATCTAGTCATCTTAACTTGACACCCAAGGCACCAGCCAAACACATGTCCCAGCCCCACCCTATCAGATTCCCAGGGAGTGGTCCAGAACTCTACTAGTTTAAGCATAACAATTAATGTCGCCACCCTTTAACACAGTTCCTCGTGTGTAGTGACCCCCAACCATAAAATTACTTTCGTTGCTACTTCATAACTGTCATTTTGCTAGTTATGAATTGTAATGTAAATATCTGATATCCAGGATGTATTTCCATTGTTACAAATTGAACATAATTAAACATAATAAAGCATAGTGATTAATCACAAAACAATATATAATTATATTGTGAAATATTCATGTGTTTTCTGATGGTCTTAGGTGACCCCTGTGAAAGGGTCATTGGACCCCCAAAGGGGCCATGACCCACAGGTTGAGAACTGCTGCACTGTGTGTTGAGACATTAGTCTATCAAGAAAACAAATGTTCCTCTGCTGCTCTGCTGCCTGTGGTCTTCAAACCCCATCGAAACCTGTTACAACATGCCATCATTTAACCATTTCTGAGAGTATTCAGTTTTGTATCTGACCCACAAAATCACCAGTAGGTGGAAGATGCATTACTGTAAGGAAGCAAAAGTACAGAGAGGTTTTTTTAATGAGTGAGAAATGCCCTCTAGCTTCACGACTCTGAAATGACCTTGAATCCTCAAGTAGCTGCATTGTCTGCTAGAAATTGACTGCAGTGACCCCAGCCGCCTTTCTAGGAGATTTACCATACCTCAGAACCTCACAGGGTCAGTATTGAAAGGCAATCCCACAATTACCCAGGAGGTGGATCAGCTATTCAAAAATCAACAACAATCCACTTTTCTTGGAACTTCACAATGAGTTAATGCCGCATAGGGAATTCACATGACCTTCTGAAAGGACCTTCAAAAAGTACATGAAAAAGTCCAATTTTTTTTCCAGCCCATTCGTCCATGAAGTTTTTGAAGCTCTCTTATAGAACCTGGAATGATGTAGTACATGATCCTCATTCTTCATCATGTGCTTCCAAGATAAAGAACATCAGGGAGCAAGAGGAGCCACAGAATAGGGGTGTACTAGTTGTAAATGTCTTGGCCATTGTGCGTCCTGATTTCTGTGAGTAGAATCACAAAGTAAATTAAGTGGCAATGGCTAAGCCTCATTTTAATTACTCCTTTACTAAAAGCAGAGGCCCTGGGTGGTGCAAATAATTAACCCATTCAGCTGCTCACCCAAAAGTCGAAGATTTGAATCCACCCAGAGTGCCTCAGGAGAAAAGTGGGTGTTCTACTTCTGAAAAGCCACCCGTTCAAAACCTGGTGGAATACATTTCTTCCCTGATTCACAAGGGGTTGCTATGATTTGGAATTTATTCAATGGCAACTGTTCTGGGTAGGTGCAATTGTGTCAATTGGTTCACAGGGATCCTATGACCAGCACAGTCCTGGACCATCCTCACCGTCCTGGCTAGACTGGGGCCCATTGTTGCAGCCACTGTCAGTTCATCCTTGTTGAGGGTCTTCCTCGTTCTTACCGAAGTACTGCATGAGATCAAGCTTCACCACTGTCGCTTCTAAGGGTCATTCTGTTTGTACTTAGACCAAGACAGATTTGTTCATTCTTCTGGAAGTCCATGGTACAAAACCAATTTCACTGCTAGCAAGCTGCTTCTGACTCATGTGGACTTCAAATAGCTCGTGAGAAAAATGTTTCATTACCTTTGAATTCAATGTTTCCATGACCTTTGTGAAGTTAACCTTGTCTAGTCACTATTCTGTCAACACAACAGTTTCAAAGGCAACTGGAGTAACTAAAACCAAACAACCCTTGGAGCCAGACCTTGTTCTGAGGTCTAAGTTCATTCAGAAGGAGAAAGCTGAATGTAAATTAAGGGAAAATAGTTGTGAAGGGCATCAGGATTATTACTAACCACTGAGTAAGCACAAAGCCTCACTGCTTTCCAGGGGGTGCTGACTCCTAGGACAAGGTAGGACGCTTGTGCGCTTCTGAGACTGTCACTGTTCTATGGGAGTAGACAGCCCTCTCTTTCTCCTGAGGAGTGGCTGGTAGTTTCAAACTGCTGACCTTGAGGATCATAGCCCAATGTGTAACCACTACACCCCCAGGACTCCTCAACCAATGAATAATGTATTCAAAGTAAAGCAATACAAACCCTCTGTGATTCAGAGGATTCCCACACATAGTTTCAATTCATAGTTACCTGAGACTGTCAATCATTATGGAAATATGTAGCAGTCTCAGCTTTCTCTCATAGAGTAATTGGTGGGTTTGAACTTCTGACTTTGTAGTTAGCCCCATAATGCCTAACCCATAGGACCACCAAGGCTTTTGAATAATAGCTCCAGGAGATCCATACCTCAGTTAGTGATGAAACCTGTTTGTGATGACAATGAATGTTCGCTTCAGTTTGGAAGAAAATCCCTTCTGATTTCTAGCTTCTAGATTGTATCACAGTCCAGGAGGGGAGAGAGGTGGCCAGGAAAGTTGGTGCTGGAATGCCGGCTAGGAAGAAAGGATGGAGGAGAGGGGTGAGAGACAGTGACATGACAGGTGGGGTTAATACTCCCCCATCCTAAAACAACTCTCCTTTTGATCCCTTGATATGTAGTATAAATGCTTTTGAGTCAGACGTGGGTTCTAATCTTGCTTTACTTAATCTCTTCATGCTCAGATTCTTTATGTGAAAATGATTAAGTGAAACAATAAATGCTCATACATACCAATAATCCATGAACAATAATAAAACATAAGCCATTTTTGAGGATGACTTGGATCATTATAGAAGATAATGTTTAGATGGCTCATCAACATTAATCTCCGCTTGTCTTCTCCTCATGTTCCTTGAAACCTCTCAAAAGACACTCCTTACACTTACACAAGCTGGTGTCTGTCCCCAAATGAATGAAATGTAATCATGCTTGCTCAGGACAGCTGAGAGTGAACTCTGAACTCCAGAATCACGTTTTCAGTCCTCTGCCTAATTGTTCTAGAGTCCTTTAACATTTGAAGCAGTTGTCCTCTTATTTAAAAAACAGAACAAACATCCCCTCTTGGGCCTCCTTTGGGTCCCAGAGGGTGACTCTCTGATGATTCTCCTTCTGGAATTGTGACCTTCCTTTCCAACCTGGAGGATTCATCTTTGCTGGACTTCTTACCTTAGTCCACAAATAGCAAACAAAAAATAGAACAGCAGTAACAAAAAACCCCAACTTTATTTGATGAGAATCATTGGCTTTGTCTGGGTATTGAAGAGTATGAGTAAATGCTGCCTTTGCTTGTTATGAGTCAATGAATCGACTTGATGGCAGTCAGTTTTTAAGTTTTAGTTTTAAGAACTCAAAGTGGACTGGCTTGGAAGGGTGGGAGTCTGAGCAAGGACCTCTTTTGCACAGCCCAGAACCCTCTGGGCGCAGACAGGTGTGCGCTTCATTATGGGCTAAGATAGAGTCCTGCTAGATGGTTCACTTAAAAAAATTTTTTTCAAACTGTGTCTCTTTGTCCTTTGCTTCAGCCTACTCAGGTATCTTTTGGGAACTTTCTTGCCAACAAGACTTTAGATCTTAATGGATCAAGGAGGAAAAGGAATATTTGCTATAAGAACCAAACCATTCAAGGATCCAAGAAAGATTTCCAGTTTGTAACAGTAGCTCTTATGCACTTGTGGGCAAGGCACGATTGAGAAATCTCTGTGCTTGTCATACAGTAAGTGTTCAGGAAATACTGGATATGTTCCCTGCACCCTTTCTAATGCCAGACGTGTTCAACCTAAGACCTGGAGCACCCAATTCCCTCAAACCCCTACCACACAAGCATTCACTTCTATTTGGTGCCATTCCATCAAGATAAAATATAAATCTACAACAAAATTTAACTTGAGGAAAACTTTATTTGGGAAAAGATTGAGAAAATGCTGACAAATAGATTCTTGGCTGGTCTGGTAGAGGTGATTACCTGCTGAGAATCGATGCCTATGGAAAGTCAGAGTCATAAGCTTTTTCCAGGCCAGTCTAAGTGTAAAGACAGACACTCTGCCTCCGTGCAGTGCATTTGCACATGCACACATTGATCCCACTGCTGGCAGTTGACAAAACTACCCATTCACAGGAATATATGCTCATGAGGACAAGATTGAAATCCATTTTGTATCCTCAGCCCCTATTTCATGCTATCTTAATGGGGCTAATGATGCAGAAGTAAAGTTTATGGTCTGTTCTAGATTGATCTGAATTGATTATCTGCAATGCTTGCTTACAGGAATCCCTTTAGATGCTCGGACTGATAACATGCTCTTTCATTACAAGGAGACTGCAAGGACTGAACACTCTCCGAGCCCTTGCAGCATGAGTACTTAGGATCAGACTTTGTTCTGCCCTTTCTTCCTATCACTTTTCAGAAGAGGGAAGCCTCTGTAGGCAGTTCACATCTTGACATCTGAAAATACTCTTGCGTACACACAGACTTGTGAAAACGTCAAGGGTGACAGAGTACAACTATGCTCCATAGGGATTGCATGGCCTTATTTTTCAAAAGGAAATCACCAGGACTTTCTTTCAAGGTGCCTCTAAACCCAAACT